TACACATTGATTTCTGAAAAATCACTGGTGAATGCATGTGATTTAATTGACTACAGAAGGAGTTTAGAGTTCAGAAGTACAGAACAGTTAATGATGTTTCTTCAGTCTTGGCTCTGTCTTTGGTGCTTGTCACAGTGTAATATAGTGTTGTTGTGTTGATGCTTAAAATATGGACATAGCACATGGCGCACTTCTCAACTTCACAGCAGTAAAATTCTCTTCATTAGTTTAGATCCACGTCGTTCAGAATATCTGTTAATTTAGCTGTCGCTAGGCTGAAGTTGGTTAATTCCATTCTGTGTAGAAAAGAAAATGTACAGATTCATTGTATAAGTAGGATCGCAGGGGCCAGGTTTTACCTATTTAAGTACCTTTTTAGCACATTCTTAGCACATTTATTTATGTGTGTGTATGTGTGTGTGTGTGACTTTAAGTACTGTTTAAAAAATGAAGAGACAGTAAAATGGACCCTTTTGACTTATAGTTCTATAAATTCTTTAGATTCTTTGAAATCTATTTTTCAATTGAAGTTGACATACAATATTATATTAGTTTCAAATGTACGACATAGTGATTAGACATTTATATACCTTGTGAAGTACTCTATAAGTTCTCACCCATATACAGATTCATATAACTGAAACCACAATCAAAATACAGAATAGTTCTATCATTCAAGAAAACTTTTCCTGCCACCGCCCAGCCACAACCTGGCAACCACTGACCTGCCCCTCGTCACTACAGGTTCCGGCATTGTGCCTTTGAGATCTCTCCAAGTCCCTGTGCATGTCAGTGGTTTGTGTCTTTTTATCACTGAGGGGCACACTCAGTTATCAAACAAGTGTGTGCCTTCGCGTAGAATGCATGAGATCTTTCCAGGGAGACCTCTCTTCAGGAACATTCTGTTAAATAGTCTGGTTTGAGTCTCTCCCTTCACTGGATGGTTCTGTGATTGCCTTTCATACCAAATATTGACCCTTTAATCATTTCACTCTTCCATGCTGAAGTTCTCTCCAGATAATCAAAATTGTGAGGCTTTGGTTTAACTCTTGCTCCCACCAAGTCCACGAGACTGTTAGCTTTCAAGGGAAGAAAATCACAGGATTGGTGAGTTGGCCAATTTAGGGCTAGAAAGTACTTTGCTTTTGTATAAAAATCTAAAAAGAACAACTTTCCATTTGAGATTTCTGAAAGCCCAACATGAATGCAGATCACAGAAGCGATAGCAGCCCTTGAAAGTATTAAAGTATGTGATTTGCAGCCCAGACGAGCATGTGACCTGTGAGATGGCTGTGATGCTTTGATGTGGCCTCAGATGCCCTGCCTGTCACCAGGCCCCTCATTCTCCCCTCCCCGAGACACCCAGTGCCACAGGCGCCTCCTGTCCTGTCTCATCAAGCAGGGACCCCTTGTGTTGCCTTCTGGACTTGAGCAGAAACATAAGCAGCATGAAAGGGGGAGGCGAGAGTGTGATGTCGGTTGAGGGCCTACCTCCACCACCCGCTGAGAAAGGACTTGCTGTTGCAAGGAACTGATGTCCCCTCAGGGACTTACAAGATGGGGTATTGGAAGGGTGCAGGGGGACTTCATGGGTGCAACTGGCTTCTTACCCAGCAGCTGCTCCAACCTCATCTTTGCAAAGCAGCTTCCTTTACTCACTTACGTTTCCCGCTTCCTTCTAACCCCGACTTTAGTTTGCCATGCTGTTCACCTGGCCTGTCACCGTACCTGCCTTAAAGGGGCAGGACCTACTGTAGTCCGACTTTCATTCCACTCAGTCTTTTGAAAGCATGAGATTGGTCCAGCTGGCCTCTGTGTTGGTTTCTTGTGGATCATGGGTTCACCTTTAGCTCAGTTGTCTGTGGACAGGTGGGCTGGCTTTCGTCGTTTAGATATGGCCACCTCGTCTTAGCTCTTTAACTGAGGCTGTGGTAGGGACAATTTTAAAGCAGGACTGTGGGCTGAGCAGACACCCTGTACTAACCCATGGAAGAGTCCTGTTTATAAAGTCTCAGCCTGGGCTGGAATCCTTCTGGTCAAGACTACCAGGCAGCCCTTCATTTCTGCGTAACTGGAATGGACAGCGTGCTCGGGCAGGCACACAGTTCGTGCTGTTCATGTCATATGGGCTACAGGGGTTCTCAGGCCCCACCCCACACCTGCTGCAGCAGAGGCTCTGCCCATCTCTGCTTTGACCTGCCCTCCAGGTGGTTCTTATGTACTCTCAACTTTTAGAACCATTCATCTAAGGCAGCGGTTCTCAACCTGTGGGTCGCGACCCCTGTGGGGGTCAAACGACCCTTTCGCAGGGGTCGCCTAAGACCATCGGAAAACAAAAAGATATTTACATTACGATTCATAACAGTAGCAAAATTACAGTTATAGAGTAGCAACGAAAATAATGTTATGGTTGGGGGTCACCACAACATGAGGAACTGTATTAAGGGGTCACGGCATTAGGAAGGTTGAGAACCGTTGATTATTCTAAGGCATGCATTCTTAGTGGGGTGGTATTGCCCTCAACAGGCAAACATTCATTCTTGGGGAGCAAAAAAACCTTATATATTACAATGGTTTGTGGCTCTTCAAAGCCCAACTCTCTCTACCCAACAAAGTCTTACTCCTTAGTATTACTTTGCAGGGGGATGGTGATTAGGACAAAATGTCTTCCACGATCTGGACACTGTTGAAGCATACGGGTCAGGATATTTATAAAATGTCCCTTAATTTAGGTTGGTCTGATGTTTTCTCATGATTAGACTGGGGTTATAGGTTTGGGGGAAAGTGAAGTGCCCTTCTTCTTACAGGGTCACATCATTTGGGGGGGAGGCGCATGGCATCAATGTTATTAAGGGTGGTGTTCACCCTGATGGCCCAGGGGGGTGTCTGCCAGGTTTCTCCACTGCAAAGTAATGATGTTTCCCATTCTATACTTGATTGTATCTTTTACTACTGATTGTATCTTTTTAAAGTTAATTTTACTGAAGTATAATTTTATATTCCGTAAAGGCTGCCCATTGTAAGTATTCCAGTCAATGATTTTTAGTAAGTTTAGAGAGTGGTATAACCATCACCCTGATCCAGGTTTTGGATATTTCCTCCACCCCCAAAAATTGCCTGCTTGGTGTCAGTTTCTGTGTCATCCCAGTTCTAGGCAACCACCGATCTGCTCTCTGTCTCTCTCAGCTTGCCTTTCCCAGACATTTCATACGAATGGAATGATACAATATGTGGTCTTTTGCATCTGGCTTCTTTCATTTAGCATGGTGTTTTTCAGGTTCATCCAAATGGTAGCATGTATCAGTATTTTATTCCTTTTTACTGCTGAGTAATGTTCCATGGTATGACCATACCACATTTTATTCATGCACTTTACCAGCATGGCTTCTAGTTTTTGGCTATTCTGCATAATGCTGCTGTAACATTCATATACATGTCTTCGGGCATTTTTTTATATTTTATTAAATTTGTTGGGGTGGCATTGGTTAATAGAATTATTGGGCATGTGTTTTCATTTCTCTTGGACAGGTTCCTAGGAGCAGAATTGCTGGGTCATTTGGTAAGCATATGTTTAACTTTTTAAGAAACTGCCAAATTATTTGACAAAGTGGCTGAACCATTATACATTACCATCAGCAATATATGAGGGCTCCAATTTCTCCACATCCTGTCAACACTTATTATTGCTTGTCTTTTGATAATAGCCATTCTAATGGGTCAGAATTTGCTCTCAGTGTGGTTCTAATTTGCATTTTCCTAATGATACTGAGTATCTTTTCATTGATTATTAACCATTTGTATGTCTTCTTCAAAGAAATGTCTGTTCAGATCATCTGTCCATTTTTAATTGGTTATTTTCATTTTTTTGAATTATAAGAGCTCTTTATATATTCTGAATATAAGTCTTTTATCAGAACTGTGATTTGGAAACATTTTCTTAACAGTCTGTGGCTTGTCTTTTCATTTTCTTAGTCATGTCTTTAGAAGTACAAAGGTTTTTAATTTTGATGCAGTCAAATTTGTCAATTTGTGCTTTTGGTGTGGAATCTAAGAACTCTTTGCCTAACTCAAGGTTCGGAAGACTTCCTTCTATGTTTTCTTCTAAAAGCTTTGTAGTTCTAACTTTTACATTTATGACTAGATCCATCTTGAATTAATTTTTGTATATGATGTGAGGTAAGGGTCATTTTCACTTAAAAAAATGCCTAACACATTAAAAAATTAATGGAGCTTATTTTTTAGAGCAGTTTTAGGTTTACAGAAAGTAAAGCGTTCCGTATAACCCCCTACACACACACACACACACACACACACACACACACACACACACACGATGCTGCAGAACCAAGCTCCCTTTGCAGAATCAGTAACTGTGCTGTTGTTGGCGTTGGTTGCAGTAAAGTTAAGTTCAGGGTGGAGAAGTGGGAAGGGTGCCACTGTCGCCAATCTCACTCTGCTTAGCGAGGTCATTGATGTTTTATGGGAAACAGGACTTAGTCTATTTGGGGTACATGAACTTTGCCATATTTGGACACAGTGAGCCCTTGTTAGAGTTACTGAAACAAGCCCGTGCCCTAGGGAAGTGTTGGGCGATCTCCTAGCCCATATCTCCTGGGTCCAGGGAGAACTGTGATGTCGCCCAGATGCCCTGCATTGACGCCAAGGGTCTCTGTGAGCCGTGCGCAGTGAGGGAGGGATCTCAGGAGTCTGGGTGCACGAACAACCTTGTTCTGCTCAGTCTCCATCTTCGCTTTTCATTTTAGTGTCATCATCTGGTGGCTGCATTCATAGCAATTAATAAATAACGTGGACTGTTCCATCAGCCAGCTGGAGAGCTGGCAGTTTGGAGTGACCCACTGTTTTGTCTTTGGTGGTTCAGTGTGTGAAGCTAGCCTTGCTCCCAGATGGTCTCAGTGACCTGGCTGGACAGGAGTCCTGTGGGGTCCTGGCAGGTCAGTGCAAGCCCTGAGGACAGTGGCTGTCTCTTGCTGTCCCTGCAGGCAGCCTGTGTGGCGATGGCACAGGTGTGTGCTACCTGCTGCCCGTCCTCGACACCGTGTTTGTCAGGAGGAGACACCGTCGCCAAGGCCTGGGCGTCGCCATGCTGGGGGACTTCTGTGAGACGTTCCCAGAGGACGAGACCCTGGGGGTCAGCTGGCCGATTTCTCCCGCCATGTACCAAGGTAACCTCCCCTGTGTCAGGTGGATACGTTCGGGTAACGGGCATGGGTAACACATGTGCCTTCCAGGGGATTCTGAGGAGGGTGGGTCCTCGGAGCCCTCAGCACTGTGACATGTGGTGGGTTTCCTCCTCCTTCTGAGAAACCTCCCATTGCTTCAGTACAGACGAGACTTCACACTTGATTGCCAGGTCCAAACCTTCCTCAGCCTGAGAAATATTTGGAAACAAATCAACACACTGTCAGAGACGAGCAGAACCTGCTGCTGGGCCCTCAGCGTGCCTTCGCACTTTCGCTGGAAGCTTGTAGTTGAGCACATTGCCGTATTCCCTGGAAGCCACAGGGCTGCCCAGGAGCTGAAGGGAAGGCAGTAGCTGAGGTGCAGGCACCTACCCCCTCTCCCCCAGCACCTCCGTAGCTCATCCTGCAGGAGACGATGCCTCCCCATCTTCTGTTCTCATCCTATGAGTCCTGTATCAGTCAGGGGCTGAACCAAGAGGGCAGATTGAAACAGAACCAATATATGTGTATATACATATAAGTATGTATATATTATATATATATTTATATATATAAATATTTATATATAATAAATATATATATTTATATATTTATATATAAATATAAATATATATATAAATATAAATATTTATTTATTTATATAAATATATATATATTTATATAAATATAAATAAATAAATAAATAAATATAAATAAATATATATATATAAATAGTTGACCTTTTACTAACACAGGTGTTGGGATCCTGACCTCCCATGCAGTTGAAAACCCGCATATAACTTCACTTGGCCTTCCACACATGCAGGGTCCCAACCATAGAGATGACCCTTGAATGACATGTTTGAATGGCATGAGTCAGTTGAAAAAAGTCTGAGTATAAGTGGACAGTTCAAACCCGTGTTGTTCAAGGGTCAACTGTATATGCAGAGAAGAGATTTATGTTATGTAATTGGCTCACACAGTGTGGACATGGGGTGTTCCGAGATCTATAGCCGACAAGTGGGAGACCCAGGAGAGCCAATGGTCTGGTTCCAGCCCAGATGCGGACAGGCTCCCACCCCAAGGAGAGCCAGCGTTCCGGTTCACGGTTCATGTCTGAAGGCAGTAAAAAAGCGATGGCCCAGCTCAAGCAGCCAGGCAGGGGAGTTCCCTCTTAACTTTGGGAGGGTGGGCCTTTTTGTTCTATAATTAGGTCTTCACCTGATTGGATGAGGTTGGATGAGGCCCACCCCCCTCAGACAGGGCCATCTGCTTTACTCAGTCTACTGATTCAGATGTTAATGTCATCCCAAAACACCCTCACAGATGCACCCAGAATAATGTTTGACCAGATGTCTGGGTGCCCCTGGCTCAGTCATTCTGATACATAAAATGAGCGATCTCCATCCCTTGCCAAGTTGTAGAAGGGAAATCTTTATATGTATTTGCCCGAGGACATTCAGAAAGTTCTGATGTTGAATGTCACATTCCAAGTTAGCAAGGGCGGGACTTCTGGTGAGCACCTCCCTAGGACCCTTTAGCCCTCGGGAAGCACACCCACCACCCTGGGCTCTGTCCCGCTTGCTTCTGGCCATACAGATATTGTCCCTATCATGGGGAGACAAAAGGTGGACGAGGCAAGGAGACTCCTGTTGCTCTGAAGTCATAAGAAAAGGAGGTGGAAACGTATTTTTCTCAAGTGGGTTTAGTTGTCTCTGTATTTTAAAACTCTTAGTCTATAATTAAACTCTGAGGGTCCTTGAGTCTTTCCAAAAGCGCTCAAGGATCCCTGCACTGTATAGCTCACTTTGGTGTTGGGGGGTTCTGGAAACCAGGCAGCTGGTTTCCTGTCCACACCCGTGTCCTGCCTGCCCCTCTCTCAGTCTTGCTTCAGTTCTGAGACCTTTGTTTGAGTGTGTTGGCCCCCAGTGAAGCCACTTCAGGTGTACCCAGGGGAGGGCCCACGTGTGTGCCATACCTCAATCTGTGCACCTGAGGGCTCACCACATGACCAGTGTGTGTATCCTTGGAGCCCAGCGACAGCTGCTGGTGCGTGTGGCTGGTGTCCACGTTGGTGCGTCCAGGCCCCTTGGCATTGCCACATTCTAGTGTCTGACTCCAAGGCGTGCAAGAATTCTAACTTTGAAACTGGCTTTCCCTGTTGTTAGGAAGTTACATTTGTCGAGACTGGAGATCAGAACCTTCATCTAGCCCTCTGCTAGCTTGGCTTACACCTTTTGAATGCTTTGCATCGTGCTCTGTAGGTTTCCATGTGTGCTGTTGCCCAGGCCCGAGAATGTTAGGAGGGGGCCTGGGGAAGTCCCCACAGGCACCTGCAGCAGCAGGGGCAGCATCCCATTGGCTGGGCGTGGGGCCCTGCCACCTGGAAGGCTCACCCCGTGAACGTGGGCGTAAAGCCCACAAGCCTTGAGGGGACTCTGGAATGAAGGTGCGGAGGGTGAGCCGCCTGGAAGGCTCCGAGTGAGAGGAGGGCTGAGGAGGCTTGGGAGGGAAAGGAGGGTGCCTGAGGTGAGGCGATGTGGGGTGCATTGGGTACACCCCAATTCTTATGTCGAAGCCCTAACCCCAGTGTGACTCTCTGTGGAGTTCTTTCAAGAAGTAATTAAGGTTAAATGAGGCCCTAAGGGTGGGGCCCTAATCCAATAGGCCTGGTCAGAAGGAAGATGAAGACGCAGGGCTTCAGAGGGAAGGCCGTGCGAGGGCGCAGGGAGACGGGGAGAGAGGCCTCGGGAGAAAGCACATCTGCTGGCACCTTGATCTCGGACTTCCAGTCTCCGGACTGTGAGCAAATAAATGTGTGTTACGGCCACCTGAGCTGACAAAAATGGGATGGACGAAAGGGGGGCACAGGCCAGGCAGGTGAGGATGATGAAAAGGGTCTTGTATGCAGTGGACCAGAGCCCAGAGCTGGAGACAGGGCGGGCTGGGCTGCAGGCAGAGCCGGAAGTGGGCCTGCCTGGGGACCTGGAAGCCACGGCCTGACTTGCCTGACTCACGCTGTGCTCCTTTCCTCAGTCTGTAGGAAGTTCCTGCTGACCCACCCGGAGGAGCGGATGCGCCTGTGGGAGGTGGAGCCCCCAGGAGCCTGGGGCCAGCGAGACAGCATCTGGCTGAAGGTTCAACTTCAACAGTCAAGGCTCCCAGACCGTGAGTCGCAGTGAGGAAAGTCACCTTTGGCCTAGTTCTTTCTGGTGGTAACTGAAGTGCAGGTGAATATGCAGATCCAGTCAGGCCTGTGCAGAGGTTCGCTTTGGTGCTGCTGCTGGAACAGAGGAGGGAGTGACACCTGGGTGGTGGCATCTTGTCCTCCGTTCACTCTGTTCCTGAATGAATCTCACGGTCTAAAGCCCCCCGCCGAGGAAGACCCCCCAGTTTAGCTAAACGCAGCTCCCTGGGACCAAGGAGCTCCCTGTTTACAGTTAGGGTGCAGCACTGAAATGCTGAGAAGACCAGGTTCCCTGTCAGCAGGAGGTCAGATGAAAACACTGTTTCAAACAGGCCGTGTGTGTACCTGGTTACAAATTCGAAAGACACACAAGGGTTTACTGTGACGAGGTAGCTCCTACCCCACTCTCTTCGGAGGAGAGTAAGTGACAGTGCCACATAGACAGTGTCACCAGTGAGTACCTGTCCCCTTTCCGGGCAGCATGGGTCATGCTGGATGGACATGCTGTCTACTCGGGCAGCCCCAGGACAGACACACACGCTGTCTTCAGTTGGGGGTTGTTAACAGATGGTGCCTCGGGGAGTTTGCCAGTGGGGTTTTGATGGAGGGCATTTGTGTGATGGCCCCAAGGCGGCAAGGGTGGGAAGGAGGACCTTTAAGTAGCCAGAGGGCAGCGCAGGGTGGCAGAGACACTTGTTCCTGTGTCTCCAAGTTGCTTTTTGCCAGCGCTCCCTCCGCCTCTCCCGAGTGGGGAAGGATTGTGCATGGCAGGCTGTCCTCAGCGCAACGCTAAGGGTGAGGGCGTGGCGCAGGGCTGGTGAGCGCAGGGCCTGCTGTGGGTGCCAGAGACTCAGGAGGCACCCACAGTTTAGGTTCCCCAGACAAGGGGAAGCTCTGGCTTTTCCCCCTCCTGGCATTGGCGCTCCTGTCAGCATCCAGGGCCATTTCCAAGGCTGCCGGGAGCTCATTAGGGCGATGGGCAGGCCCAGGTGCCTGGCTCTGTCTCCACGTGGGTACCTGATTTACCTTAGGTGGTGACAGGGAGAGTGCCTTGGAGTTTATTGATGATAATAGTGATGATTTGGGCTTTTATGGGGCCTTTCAGCTAGAAGGCTTAATGGATCTCTGCAGACGTTAATGGGGTGACCGGGCACCTGGGAAGGAGGCCGTGGCGGGGCTTTGACTGTGATCCTAATGAGGCGGTTATGTGACTTGCCCTGTGGCACTGAGAGGTAGAAATGAAGGGAAGCCAGCCTGGACCTCCCGTGCACTGAGCTGCCCAGCCATTCGGGTTTATGGATGAGTTTCACAAATGAGCCTGTAGCCCCTGGACGTGGCCTTTGTGTCTGGGACGTTGCCATTCCTTGGCTGGGAATGGAAAAAAATAATGGCTTGCCGGTCGGAATGTGGTAATAATGTGGAAATCGCAGAGGCGGAGAGGGTAGGCAGGAGGAGGAGGTTTTCGCGCAATTGGGGAGATGACTTTCTCTCAGGAGAACGGCACTGGGGGTTATTCAAGAGTGGGAGTTGGTGTGGTCTGGTCCGAGGGAGCCGCGCTGGAAGACAGATGCCAGAGCTGTCACTGTAACTCACTCTGAGATTCCCCAACTCTCTCTTTAGAACAGCAAATGAGGGGAGCTTCGTGGAGAATGTTCCAGAAGCATGCACGAGTCCCTTGAAGGAAGAAGGGTCATCATTATAATTAGGATACCATGAGATTGCTAAAACTATATAATTGAAAAAACTAAGTTATGGTGTTTTCACTCCCTGTTAAAGCCATGGCAGGTTCCCAGCCTTACCCACCCCTTCTGTCTCCCCAGGGCCAATAGTGAGGATTTAATTCACTCAGGAAGGTTTTCAGCCAACCCGCCTCATATTGTAGCAATTTTGTCAGTTAGTGCTGACATTTCAGATTTTTTCTCCAGGTTGGTGGGTGAGGGCTACAAATGAAATCACAATTAGCCCAGACGCTGTGTAGTTTCAGTTTCTGGCCTGTTTTTCTCTTCATGGAAATCAGCAAGTGTTGTTAGCCCATTAGATTTTCCCACAGGTCACCCATCAGTGCAGATTTCGGAATCTTTTCTTCCCTGGAAATCTCATGAGGCCACTTAATTTAATTTTAGTTGTTAATTAGTCAGTTATTCTTAGAATTGCTTTCTTGAATTGTTCTGGTTTTCAAGTTCTGTCTTTTGTCCCTTGATTTCTGAGTGTTTTTTGGAGGTTTTCTGCAGTTGCATGGGCTGTAGAAATAGAATTGTGGGCAAGAAGGCCAGTGGAGCTGTCACTTTTTATATTCTAAGTGAGGCTTGGACATTTTATAGCATTCCAAAGGGAAATGAACTTGTGCTCCTTTCAGATGTTTTAAAATCTATTTTTAAGCAGTGTCCTATGTGGACTAGGCCTTTTAAAGTCTGCACGATCCTGCCTGTGATAATATCTGTGGCTTATAATGGCCCTGAAAATATTTACAGGGTCATTCGAATCTTTGGAGAGAAGTACTTTGTGGGAAATTCTTTTCTTCCTACTCTCAGTTATATGAAGCCTTTGAGACTTGACCACCACGATCACAGCCTTATCTGATGTCACTTCCCAGTTAGCCTGCACGTGCCTTAAGCCTCTTTACTGGATGAGATGAAACCATATGTCAACAGCCCCATGTTCTTTTACAGAAACTTGGCTGGAGGCAGAAAATCATTGCACACAGCTTTAAAAATTAATTTTTCATTCTTTAGGTTATAGTGTTGCTTTCTTTGCAGGTGACTCTTTAGTAGATTCCATTGTCATCCACAGGGAAAATACTTTTTCTTCTATAATATTTACATTTACTTTTTAAAGCTTGAAGGAGTGTATATAGAGATGTGAAATATTTGAGCTGGGGTCATTTTTGTGAAACTGCAATTCTGTTCTTGTTTCAGCTTGTTCTGGTGAGTCGGACATTACATAGTGAGCAGAAGCAGCAGCAATTTTGTGGCTGTGAGCTATGCTGGGAAGTGCTGAGAGCAGACCCGCCATACTGGGTGGGCTTGTCTAATGCTGCTCTTTGAAAGGTTCTGTGGTTCCCTCTAGTGGCCGCTGCAGTCTCTGCGCCCTGGATGGCAGCTTGTGGGTGTTTTTACCTCAGGCCAACCTGGGTGGTTGTTTCTTAGAGTCTTAGTCTTGTCAGCCCAAATTAGTGTATGCATTTAAAAACTTATTGAGCTTTCATTGGTTAGGAATAAAATATAATAAGTGGGCATCTGATAGCTACTAGTATGCTTTCGTCCATAACACATAAAAACAATTTCATATAGAAGGAAAGATTGAAAATTGAGAATGGATTATCTGCTTCATTCTCTCATTCAGTTATTCAGTCATTTACTCACTCATTCTATCTAATTAATTCACTCATTCATTCATTCAGTCACCCATTTATGTGTTCTCTCATTCACTCAGTTGATTACTGTCAGTGGAGCATTTTCCGACACCAGGCATTGCCTGAGGTGGTTGGGACACAGTAGTGAATCAGGCTGCAGTATCTGAACTCATTCCTGAGCTTACATTTTTGTGAAGAAAATTATATGGGCAGCTACTACTGTGTTGCATAAAAACTCAGAGAACAAAAGTGTGCTGGTATTTTTAAATGCTTACAATTACATTTCACCTAACCCAATTTTTCTAGTTTATAAAGTCTGGAAATAAACTTTAAAATTTACTTATGTAGGTAACAACTGAATAATACATTTATCCTTTATTTGAAAGTGTGTTTTATTTGTATTTTCAAGCAGAAAACTGCATACTTTTCCCCTAATAGATCTGACCTCGCCCCTCACAAACCCCCACCTATGGATTTTGGGGTGTGGGGAAGTGGCCAGTGGGACAAGAAGGTCATCCCATTCTAGGTTGGGACTGGTTTGGTAGGAGGGGGGTGCTGCTTTAACATGGGGACTATGGGCTCTCCTGTGAGTAAAAATTCCAGGGAGCAAAGGGGAGAGCTAGGAATGGAAGTGGAAGCCTGACGCCGTTTAATGCCTGAATAATGCAAGAAAAGAGAAACAGTCCAGCTGTAGAAATGCTCCTGAAACCTGGCAGATTTCCCTGTCCTCCAGAGGGCGCTGTAGAGGTGTCAAAGCCCTGGTCAGTAGGATGGAACTGGGTCACGGTGATCAGGGCTTTTGGAAGCGTCCCCGAGGTATTATTCATCTGTGGATTGTCCACGCCCTTGGGAGCCCGCCCTGCCCTGCTTGCTTATCCTGCTCTCTTGCTTGGGGAGGGCAGTTCCCCCAGGAAAGTCCAAGGAAGACGTGAGCAGTCCCGGGTCGACTTCTCGAGATGATGGACTCAGACAGGCCGATAATGGAGAAAGCAACAAGGTACAGTGATGGATGTGCCCTAGTAGGAGTAGGTCTCGTTTCCTTAGTGACCACGTGGCACGTCAGCTTCCTGGACACCTCGGCTGTAGGCTCAGAACCTGTGTGCCGCCGTGTGAGGCAAGAACTTTGTAAGTAGTCCTCTTCTCTAAGCTAGACAAGCTCTGAGGAAGCCGATTCTAAGCAGAGAACACATGGGGATCAGCTGTAATCTTGCATTACGAAGGAAATGTTGAAAAACCTGAATTTCAAATTCTGCCATGAACCAGCACCTTTCAAACAGAACAAAAGCACAGGCAAATTTGTCTTTCTTTCCTCCCCTGCCCCTCAAGACCCTGGAAAATGAAACATGGCACTGGTTATCGTCTAACAAGAAGCCAGAACCATGGGCACAGATAGTTGCTGAATATTTCTTAGTGGCCTCTTGTCTGTCAGTCGTTTATAAGATTTTCAAGTGTGATTCTGTAAGCATTTTCCTGAAGCCAAGCCAGACACTTGTCCACACGAGGTAACTGTTATAATACCCACTGTCTGGTATGGAAGGAGCTTTGCTCAAATCCCTAAACAGTCCATAATGATTTTAAAATCCAGAACTTAAGTTCCGCTTAGTGGGGAATACTGCTTATTTTGGAAAGTAGGTGGTTCTGCGATTCAGGAATGAACATGAAAGGCATAAAATATCCCAGGAAGTGCTGCATCCTTCTAGAAAAGCTGCCTGGAGGCTGACATTAGTTCTAGGCGTCTGGCAGAGGAGGACTTGCATTTTCCTTGGTTCCCGATGGAAAGATGGGCTAACCTTCGACCGTACCAGGCCACTGGACAGGGCACGTTGTACTTTGCCTCGTCACTGATCTGACTTCCCCTTTAAACCTCAAAGGCCATTAGAGGAAGTAGGAAGCATCCAGTGTGATGTGACGCCCATGGGTGTGTGTCAGGGAAGTCTGCACATTCAAGCATCAGAGCCCCAACCTTTAAAGAGGTGCTTCCTTGCCTTGTTCTTCCTTGGATGTCCCGGGCGGGGCCTCTCTTCTGTCTCCATCAGTAGAAATGTGCTCAGAGCTGTTTGCGCACAAAACATGGTGTCCTGGAGCTGGCCGAGGTGTCTGAACCCGGCCCACCCACCCTAAATGTGAGCACTCATACAAGGCCTGGCCAGGCCCCCAGCAGGCCCCTGGGTGAAACTGCGTTAGTTGGGATTCTTTGTAGATTCTCTTATGATTTCAGGAGAGGACCAGTGGAGAAGAACTGGACAAGACAAAGGATGACCAAGCCTGTCGAGTGGAAGACGCCTGTGGGGCTGAGCTGGACGGGAAGGATGCCAAGAGGACAGCGGTGGCCGCGGGGCTGGCCGGGCAGTCCTGGCAGAAGCACAAGCGGCCCAGTTCCTAACTCCCAGCGTATGTGGGTTGGAGAGCTGCTTGTCACTTCCTGCTTGTGTGACCTTGAGCTGCCATCTGTCCCTGCTCTCTTCCTTTGTAACCTTTGAGGAGAAAAGGACCATCCAGACCCGTCTGCCTCAGGCTTATGTGGGCTCAGCACAGAGTCCGAGAAAGTGCTTCCTTACACCCCAAGTGCTATGTAGGTTCAAGTAACTGCTCCCCCGGCTCAGATTCCAGGAACGCATTCCTTAAACATAATATGGTTTCCATGAATTGGGATGAATTTATAAAGACCGCACTGGAACCATACGAATGTGCCTTTTTCTTTACACAGGGAAGCTCAAAGGGCCACCCCACTGCGGTCCACACAGCAGAAAGCCTTTGGAGGTTTGCTCTGCCGACCTGACTGTACCCCTGAGACCAGACACCAGAGGGGCCTCTAGGAGACGCTTACCTTCCCAGAAACTGCCTGAGGGCGGGGGCCAGGGCTGACTGGGGCATACCATAGGCCTCTCGTTCATATCGGGCCTGGTATACAGGAGGCGCTCAGAGTGGGCTCCAGGCGGGTGACATCATCTCAGCCATCCTCGGAGGGGAAGCCACCAGAGGGGAATTTGGGCTGATGGCCCTTGAGCTTATTGGTGCCTTGAGTGTGACGGCTGTGGTAGTAAAGGTGACTGTACAGATCACAGCCTGTCCCTGGCTTCCCCTTTCTCAGATACCCTACACAGCCCCGCTGGGGCACGTGCTCTGCCACCATTGGGGATTCAGTGCTAAGCCAGGCCCTGTTACTTATTTAATCATCCATGTGTCTGTCCATTCATTCATGCATCTATCTGTGCATCCATCCACCTGTCCTCCACCTGTCCATCTGCCCCTCCATCCCTCCCCTTCCTTCCTCCCTTTCTTCCACTCTCCCTCTCTCCACTCATCTCCGCATCTCTCCATCCATCCATCCATCCATCATACCCACCCACCTCCCTGTCTGTCCATCTGTCTGTCTGCGTGTATCCATCTGTCTATCCACCCACATCCATCTGTCCATTCAGTTGTACAGCAGACGTTCGGCACGATTGCTCAGGGCCAGGTTCTTCTGGGCACTCAGGATGTATATAGAGAGGCACGGTTCCTGGACTGTCCCGCCCATTAGAAAGAAGAAGAGTCCAGTTGAGTAGAAATAGTTTGGAACGCTATATGGAGACATCGTAAAGTGCCCCGTGCATGTGGGCCCATCTCAGCCGAGACGGAGCTCTGCGTGTGATTTCAATACAACCTTTTTAACACGTGACATATGCATGTGCTGCGAACACTGTCCTACTTGAGGTGTATGGTTGGTACTTTGTCTTTACATGAAAATGAACCAATGAAAGTGTCTCAGGTTTTATGAAGCTTCTGTTGAATACAAGAACCTTCCAATGATGTGTGGATGGAGCTCATTGAAAGACGTGTCAGCGTACTGCAGTCAGAGGAAGTGCCCTGGTGCCCATAGTCTGGTTGGCACAGCCCTGTCGGGCCTGGGACTGTGTGCAGGGTTCCTTTCCACATGGCATGCATGGGAATGTTGGTGAGGCTTGTGTTTGCGTGTGTGCGCACATGTGCGTGTGTGTGTGTGCATGTGCACATATGTTTTTGCATGTGTGGATGTGTGTGCATGCTTGTGTATGCATGTATGTGTGTACGTACTCATGTGTTGTGCTGTTTTTATTAAATTACCTTTGTTTATTCAGTTCCTCTGTGTTCTTGCCTATAATTTTTTAACAGCTCTACTGAGATATAATTTATGATCCAAAAAATTCACTTCAAGTATATAATGCCATGGTTTTTAGTGTATTTACAGTGTTGTGCAACCACCACCACAATAAATACCTCAAAAAATGTACAATTACCAGTCTCTCCCTTTCTACCCCTGCTAGCCCTCGGCAGCTTCAAATCTACATTCTCTGTAGATTTGCTTGTTCTGGACACGTCATACCAGTGGAATCATACAATGTGTAGCATCTTATTTTCTTCACTTAGCATGATGTTTTCAAGTTTCATCCATGCGTAGCATGTATCAGTACTTCGTTTCTTTTTATGGCTGAATAATACTCCATTGTATGAATAGAGCACATTTTGTCCATTTACTAACTGATGGACTTTTGGGCTGATTTCAGTTTGGGGCTATTATCAGTCATGCTGTGAAAATTTGTGTACAAGTTTTTGTGTGGACCTAAATCTCAGTTCTGTTGGGTATTTACCAAGGAGTGGAATTTCTGAGTCATATGGTAACTATATTTAACATTTCAAAGAACTGCCAAATGATTTTTCTAAGTGACTACAATGTTTTTTACATCCCCACCAACAATGCCCGAGGGTTTCGATTTCTCCCCATCCCAGGCAACACTCGTTGCTATCTATCTATTTGATTAAAGCCACCATCCTAGTGGGCATGAACCGGTATCTCGTGGTTTGTACCCAATGACCAAGATGTGCGTCTTTTCATGTGCTTGTTGGCCCTCCTTATGTCTTTAGGGAAATGTCTATTTAGATCCTTTACCCATTGCTTAATTGGGGTGTCTTTATTATTGGGCTGTAAGAGCACTTTATGTACGCTGCATAGGCCCCTTATCACATGTATCAGCTGCAGATGTTTTCTCCCATTCTGTGTGTTGCCCTTTCACTTGCTTGATGGTGCCATTTGAAGTGCAACATTTTAAATTTCGAGGAGGTCCAGTTTATGTCTTCTTTCTTTGGTTGCTCATGCTTTGGGTGTTGTGGTAATGATGGCGTTTTGTCGGTACATGTCCTTCCATGCCCTTCTAAGGGGAGTTATCGCGGAGAAAGTCGTCTGAGCCTACCAAGAATGTAGAAAAACCCACAGAGAGTCATTACAGGAAGACCCCGGGCCCTGCCCATGAGAGGCGCCTTCCCTTGCCGGAATGGGCTCAGGTGGAGGACACGGGGGGGGGGCCCATGGGCCTGCGGAAGCAGTGCTGGCAGTGCTGGTGAACATTCACTGCTGGGCACTCGAAGAGATTTCTCAGTGAGGAATGAATCCAACGGGTTGGCTGCTTACGGAAGCTTTAGGGGACCAGTAGATTAGGAGAGTTCCTAAAATCCCCATTTTCTCTGAGAAACAATATAAAATCTCTGATTTTGATTTCGTTCTCTTTTTGGGGGCGGGGGGGGGGGAGAATGTTCAGCACCTGGGTTTTAAAGTTTGCTGTGCCAGCTTTTTTGGTGAGAAGCCATGAAACTCGTGGCCACCTTTGTCTCCTACCTTTGCCTCTGTCCTTTCACACACGGTACAGAATGTCACCGTGACCAAGCAAGGGGAAAGATGAGTAGGAAACCATAGCGACACAGTCACGAGCAGTCAATCACAAGTCCAGTACCCAATCGAACATCCAGGGAGCTGGACTTTCTTTTTTCAGGATCAAATAAGAGCAAATCAGAAAGAGTAATTTCTTTTCCTGTCAGAAAAATTCTATAAATGTCCACGGCAACTGAAAGGCTTCCATCAATGTGTTTTAATGCCTCCAGACTGGATTCTGTTTAATGGAATTGGCTTATCTTATGGAACCCTCCTTCCCACCACACAGGAGTCACCTTCCGGCTTTCATGAAGGCAGCCTCTCCAGCCGGGGCCCTTAGCAATGTGCAGACAGCTGCTGAGCTCTGAACTTCCATGGTCTTGATTACCTGTGACTCATGGCATCCCCTGTTTAGTGGGTGGCCCGTGGACGCTGTATGAAGTAGGCACTGAGAATATGACTCCTTTGGTCCTTGCGTAACCAGGGGACATGTGGCCATGGCCAGAGACTTTTTGGTTGTCACGGTTGGGTGAAGGGTGCTACTGGATCTAGCGGGCAAGGGGCAGGGATGCTGCTCAATATCCAACAATTCTGGGACAGCCCCTGCCACCCCAAGAATTATCCAGCCTAAAATGTCGTGCCCAGGTGGAGGAACCCTGCCCCAGCTTTTAGTCTTCAAGTCCTGGGTGTCCACAGCTTCCGTCCATCTCGGCTTTGCTCGTTTATGGCTTCAGAGTAAGCTTAGAGCTCAGGTCTCGTCGTCATCTATCATTGAAACACTTCGCTGTCTATCAAGCACGTGTTCTGTGCTGGCTGGAGGGCTTCCAGGAGCTTCCATGGCTGCGTCCAACTCTGAGACGAGGGCGGGACTTGCAAGGTAACCCCGTGGAGGGAAACCAGGCATGTGCTTGGGGATGCTTCAGATCTTGGACCTTTCACCTGTCTCAACTGCTAAGAAAGTTCTTCTTCGTTTAGAGGAGAAATTGTGCCTGGAGTTGAGGTCCCTGGCAGGGCCCAGGAGGTGCCCTGGAGAAGGCTCAGGCCTGAATGGTAACATTAGAACCTGATTTTCCTCTTAATCTAGATCTTGAGCCCCCGTTCTGGCTGGTGGCAGAAAACGGCAATTTTAGACTAGACTTGCAGAGAGCATGGACCCCTCGTTCCGGGATTATTTTCTGAGGGAAATACCCGTGATGGCCACACGATGGCAGCCTTGCATAAACCAAAGCTCCTCCTGTGTCCCAGGACCGCAGCCCTAAGTGGATGCCCCCTGCAGTGGACACCGCCTGTCTCACTGCAGAAACAGAGGAGGTCGGCCAGGAGGGCATCTTTAATTGCAGCTGGAAACTCTGAACTTTACTCCTGACCAAGAGTCAGGTGGGATCACGTTTTCCCTAGGATGGAAGATGGATGCGGGGTTGCGGCGCGCTCATCTCCGCAGTCACCCCACGTGGGCACTAGATGGCGCTGTTGCACTTTCCTGCGGGCTCCGAGGGGCGCGCCAGTGCCCCCCTCTCTGCATCTCCAGATGCCACCGGAGTCCCTAAGTGAAATAAACGTGCCATTGTGAGCCGAGGCCTAGTTCACTAAGGTGTCTAGGAAATGAGATGCAGCCAGGAGGCTTTGACCAGAGGGAATGCTGACTGTGGGATTGTAGCAGGAAAGCCCTTTAGGATTTTACATGGCTCCCCTCACCCCAAGCCCTGCACCTTAGGGTGGCAGAGTTCTGGTCACTGGCCCTAATATCAGCCTGGTAGAAAAAAGTGGCACCAGGCGTTTTCTTCTCTAGGGACCTCAAATCTGATTGCATGCCCCTGTTCTTTTGTGTGTCTGTGCATCAATTCAGCCTTGGCGGGGAGTCAAAGGAAAACCACCCAGGATGGGCCAGGGGCCTGCAGAAGGACCCCGTGGAGAAAGAACAGTCTGCAGGGTTTGAGGACATCAGGCCTGGGAATGAGTGGACTTGTGGCTGCTGGCAGGGCCAGGCTGGGACTGGGGCTTGGGCCACTGGACTCGGGGTCAGAACCCAGGACAACCCCTGGGAACTTGCTAGTCACCCACTGCCTGCGAGGCTCCGCAGAGGGCTGGGTGCCACAGGGGCCACGTGCAGCCCCACCCCATGGTCCAGGCGTTCTCCTTGAAGGAGAACAATAGTAATAAACTATTACTATTGTAGTAATAGTAATAAACACAGCAGCAGTAGTGATGATAAAACACTTAAAACGCTTACCATGTGCCGGGCACCAATTCCTGTGATCCCTATCACACCCCCTGAGGGAGGGACTTTGCTGCCAGCCGATGCCCTAAAGGTGGTCCGTTCTCAGCGTCTGCCTTCTGCCTGCAGCCACTCAGGATCAGATTTAAAAACCAACTTGTAAGTTGGAATTAACTTTAAATGGACAAGAGTTGCAAAAGTGCAAACACTACAAGGAGCACCATGGTGCCCTCTGTATGTGTAACTTTTTCTCTGACCCATTCAAGGTTTTATGGGTCTGATGGCTTTTAACCCTGAAATGTTTCAGTGTGTATTTCCTGAGAATGGAGATGACCCATGTCATCACACTGCGGTTGTCAGCATCATCAGTTTTCCTTGGTATGTT